TATATATATATATATATATATATATATATATGAAAAGAGTAAGATGAGTCAAGATAGAAGTCCGAAACAATTAGAAGGTTGGGAAGGAAACATGGTGACATGCATACATATGGTGGGAAAGCAAGAAAAGCAAAATTACTGATACCAGAATTTAATCCAAAAACGAAAAAACAGAGACGAGCATTATTATTCAAAATAATCGGATTACAATCAAGAATCACAAGGAAATAGAAAACACAATAACATTAATATTCGACTAGAACTGGGTAAAATGATCTAGGAACGAAAACAGTGTCAGCACCATGGTTGAGGACTGCAGTGGTAGAGGGTAGAAGTAGGGGGTGCTAGAAGTAAGGGAAAGGCTCAGTGGTGATGTAAAAGGGCAAGGGGGGATAGCCTTCATGGTATAGTGTTGAAGGGGGGACCTGCAACCCACTGGAAGGGCGGAAGCTGAGAGCGGCTCGGCAGAGAGGCGGGGTGGGGGCGGCAAGAAGCAGGAAGGTGAGGTGGTGTTTATGGCGGCACAATAGGTAGGTGAAGGGGAGAGGATGGACGATGCATAGAGATTAGGATGGGAAAGGGGTTGGCGGAGATCGGAAGCGGGAAAGGGGAAGATGGGTTGGTCGGCGGCTGTAAAACAGAAAGGAGGGGGTATGTTGGAGGGATTGACAGAGGTAATCACCACATCGGAACAAGATATAGTCAGAGCACCACCTATCCACTCATAAAGCCATAGCAAGGGAAGCAGTCTACATGCAGAATCTAAAAGCAAATCAAGAATAAACCCTAAACTCAACAAGCATGTGTATTAATAGAAGATAAATAGGCGGGAAAACGAATAAAAAGAGGGGGGAGAGTTGGGTAGTAATTCTCGCTTCATGAAGGGGGCGGCGGGTCCAACCTCCCGCTAGACTGAGTCCTTGTCCTGCTAGACCAACTGGACCATGCACCCGCGTCATTCTCCTGAGGTTTGGGGAGCATGGACTTCATCCGTTAGATCTTCGTAACACTACGTCAGATCCACGACATTTAATGTGGTTGAAATATTGTTGTCTCCTGGTAGGTCAATCTTATAGCTATTATAAATCAACTTTCGAAGTATTCTTAAAGTTCGTCTGCTTTGGAATTGAATTTTTTGAATGCAACAAATGTGAATCTCTCTTTGTTTAGCGTAATCCACACTAAGTCTCCTTCTTAAAATGTCACTTTTTCCTTGTTCTCTTCGCCTGTACTTGGTACTTGTAATCATGTTTAATGATCTCTTTTCCAACTTTTTCTTGAAATTTATGAATCATGTGCACCTATTCCTCCTGGAATATCTGAATTTTGTGAACCTGTTCTTCAGCATCCTCACAAATCTCTAACGTCAACAAGAGCGATGCCAGTTCCAATGGAGTGAGCAGATTGTGTCTGTACACGACCTCAGATGAAGTGTGGCCCGAGGTTTGACTAACAGATCTATTTAACACAAACTAGGCCAAAGCGAGAATCAAATCTCACTGCTTTATTTTCTTCCCAACGAAGCATCTCAACAGATTTCAAGCTTCCAATTTCCTACCTTCGTCTAATCGTTTGTCTAAAGGTGTGTTGCGGAACTGGATTGAATTTTAGTGCCTAATTTTTTCCACATTCCTCCAGAAGTGGCTCAGAAATTTGACATCCCTTCATAAATTGATTATCGTGGGCATCCTGTGAAATCTCACAATTTCTTTGACGTACAAGTCGGTGACATACGAAGCATCCAGTGTCTGGTGGCATGGTACAAAATGCCATCTCTACAACCATGGCTATGTTACTTCATTCACTGACTGAAGAGCTCACTGATCACAAGCCACCACTATCTCAAAATTTGACCATTGATACTAACTTTCATTGCACCAACACCAAAGACTTCCCTAGCTGTTGTCTAGGGCAATCAATCATAAAGTTGATGGTGATGAACAAATATTGAAGTTACAAGTGTCCAAAGATAAAAAAATCGAAACAAGCCAACATATTTAAAATTTTAATTAAACAAATGATAAATTTACTTTTAAGTCAAGTTGTCCAGGTCTTCTATAGATACTACATTCTTTATTACTCATTTTCTAATCAAATGATTAAACCTAAAATGTTAATATAAAATAAAATGAGCTTACAACAAGAAGTGCATACCCATACTCCTAAACTACAACAACACAATAAAAAGAAAATAATATGCATACCAATTAAACTTTTAATAATTTAGTATATAAGCATTTGATAATTTATATTTAAGAATTTGACTGATTAAGATATTTCAAAATCTTCCTTATGCCATATTAAATTATTTTCATATCAAAACGATTTTATATATAACCATCACAAAAACATCGTCTAAAATTAGCTCAATTAAGGTGCATCAATATTAATATTTTCTTTTTCAATTACATGCAGGGGCATCTTAGTGTTTCCCCATTAGTACCATAAATGGTGAACTCCGTTATAGTCAACATGGACATGCAACCTTGCTATATAGTCTATATCATTTAAATGCTCATCTCAGTCAATTATATGTGTATGTATCCATAAATTATGCATGGTAATAATTACTGATAATCATTCATGACAATGTGACCAAAAAGGAAAAGATCATATAAAACAGAAAGAAAATATATGTGGATTTATATGGATCAGTAACTACAAATGAAACTAGTACACAAAAAAGAAAATACTACCATAGATCAAAAGTACTCACCTCAAATCTCTTTTGAATCCTAAGCATTTCTGCTTAATTCATTACTAATCAACCTATAAACCACAAAATATGAATCTAAGACTCATGAAACTATAATTAACAAAATTATTTAATTATCTTGACATATTTATCGAGTTATAATTAAATTTCTCTTTCACGAAAAATTAATATTTGACTTCTAAAAAAATCTAATAA